TCACCCAAAGCCACTCAACCATTCACTCACCCAATGCCACTCACCCATTCACTCACCCAAAGCCACACAACCATTCACTCACCAAATGCCACTCACCCATTCACTTACCCAATGCCACTCATCCAATGCCGCTCAACCATTCACTCACCCAATGCCGCTCACCCATTCACTCACCCAAAGCCACTGAACCATTCACTCACCCAAAGCCACTCAGCCACTCACTCACCCAAAGCCACTCAACCATTCACTCACCCAAAGCCACTCAACCATTCACTCACCCAATGCCGATCAACCATTAACTCACCCAAAGCCACTCAACCATTCACTCACCCAAAGCCACTCAACCATTCACTCACCCAAAGCCACTCAACCATTCACTCACCCAATGTCGATCAACCATTAACTCACCCAAAGCCACTCAACCATTCACTTACCCAAAGCCATTCAACCATTCACTCACCCAATGCCACTCAACAGTTCACTTACCCAAAGCCACTCACTCAACCATTCCCTCGCTCACCAACTCACTCACTTCATTCCAATGCATCATCCGTGGTAACATCATTGCTTGTTGGTGGCTGTAACCGACTATAATGGAGATTGGACGTCATAATACTGTAGCTCATCGGCGCTCATGATATCACTCACTGGTTGAACTAAACCCTGACAACGCAAAACATCCCTTGGAGTTGTTTTTCCCTTGATCGTTGCTCACGTCCAGATTGGATGACCTCCAGGATCTGTGCGACAACTTTCTGATCCAACAAAACCATGAAAAACCTAGACCTTTTTTAAATAAGCTTTAACAGATTCTTTCCAAAGAAAGTTTAAAGATGGCCACTGTGGCTGCACGATATGAAATAAGTCTCCATCTTACTTCATTCTTATCTCCCAATGCTCCTGGTGATAAAAAAACATGTGCCAGTTTTTGCTTCACTATGAAGATCAAAGGGATATTGTCAACACAGGTAGATTTATCAGTTAAAAAACACATTCCTCTGAACAGATCGGCGAAAGTAAGGTTCATCCAATGTCTAGTATTTAACAAGACGACAACCTGACATATCCTATGTGCACCCGTATTGTATGTTTCTTACTTTAAATTCAAATGGTCGGTGGGCGAAAATGATATATAAGAATCTTAAAAAATTACGTTTTACAGAAAAGATTCCACTATTGCAATCGTTGGATTCTGAAACCAACGTAACAAAACAACTCTTAATATTGAAGCCATTTGTGGCCTGGGAGGAATTGGTCCCGATGCACGGATGACCAGTTGACGTACTGACCATTGCTCGCGTTCCCAGATTGGCCAGAGTGAGTGAGTGAGTATGGTTTTACGCTGCTTTTAGCAGTATTCCAGCAATATCACGGCGGGGGACACCAGAAATGGACTTCACATATTTTACCCATGTGTGGAATCGAACACGGGTCTTCAACGTGACGTGCGGACGCTTTAACCACCAAGCGACCCCACCGTCCCCAGGCTTAACACAAGCTACATGTTCAGAACACAAAATGTCATTAAAATTTACAACCTCTTTTGACATAGTATTATGACAATACGCTCTAGCGTCAGTCGAAGGCACACATTGTCGATCAACACTGTAGTTGCCATATGTCGCCTAAGTCGCGGTGGTTATATATATACGACTAAAGTCTAAACAAATAAGGAAATACATTGACGACGTTTTTAATCAAAACAAAACCCTGACCACAACAATAACATGGACACAGCTGCGGAGTGACCATGTGACCATGTGTTAAGCACAAATCCCAGACAAGGGCGACCTGTTGACCGCCGCAAGATCTGACTGACCATATCAGAGCTGACCAATTTACGCTGAGCCCCGAGATGACAATCTGCACGTACTTCTACAACAGCTGGTGGTAACATGCTGGTGGTCAACTCGGACAATGGTGGTCAGGGAACAGAGGTCAGTGCAGAGTCGTAGTCAGTCTGAGCTGACAATACCGGTGTAATTATCCGAGTGAGTGAATGAGTGATCAATTTTACGCCGCTTTTAGCAATATTCCAGCAATATCACGGCGGGTGTGTAGGTATCTAACGAAGTACTGACTTTATATATTTCGTTTGTTGATTTACGCCTCACGCTGAACTTTCGAGCCATATCTTGTCAATCTGAAAAAAGCTGATTCTGGTAAAAAACAACAACATTTACGGATGTCTGTTGTTGTTGTAGTTCTTCTTCTTCATCTTCTTCTCCTCCTCCTCCTCCTTGTTCTTCTCATAGCATCTCAAAATATCAATTTGTAAAATCACTGATGCCCATCACTGGACTGTCTGGTCCACAATCGATTATTCACAGTGCGTCGTCATACAGTTGGAATACTTCTGAGTGGGCCTTAACAACAAACAGACATATTTTTCTTATCCATCCATTGCCACTCGATAACACTTTGTATTTCTGTAATCACCTGTTATTTCCGATTTCCCCTACTTTCTTTGGAGAGTATATAAACAGTCCCACATCACGACATCATCCGTACACTTCTTATACGTATCCACCTCTCAGTATTGTGACCACGTCCGAGTACTGCCAAGCCGGTGTAAGACTGACCTAATCAGGTTACGGTACTTCTGGCTAAGCCCGTGCTTTGTGGACGGACAACGCCCTGTTGTCGATATCACTCTGAGTGATTGATGGGGTGACATGCAATGTACACGCAAATCAATAACAAAGGAATATGGCATACTACCTTGACACAAATCAGTTTTGAATTACTAATATGGTGATTATGATGTTTAATGAATGAGTAATAAATCAAAATATTGAAATATTGTAACAATATTAAGATATGATTGGTCCACCAATTACTGGCTTAAAAATCGACGTATGCAAATTGACATAATTAGTTACCAAGGTAACAATTGCAAGTTGCTCTTCTCGTGTACTTTTCCAAAGAAGGGGGCACATGGGGCAGGCCGTCTGAGACTCCGGGACTCGTTGTGCAGAGTTGCTGCCCTTTGGTACTACAGGAACCTGTTATCGTAGGTTCAAATCCCGAATTTTCCCAATGGTGTCCCCAGTCGTGATATTGCTGGGATATGGCTAAAAGCGGCGTAAAATTAAACTCACTCACTCTCTCACAACTAGACATATTTCACGGCGCAGATCGTGTCTGAATAATCAAATCAGAAATCGATTTCATGACATCGATCTTTGCAGCTAGAGTACGATGACACATAATTATGTTTAGCCATTAGCCATAACAAGCAGAGCTTTTGGCCACCCAATCCCCGATTACGATTAACAGGGTGGTTACTATGGACCTATCGCTCTTTGAAGTCTACTAGTGACTGTCAACACGATTCCTCATTTAACTTCACTTACGCAGCCCTCTCTTTGCTTAGGCTTAGACATGGTCGAATCCCGGTTTGGATGAATAATATCACAATTGTTTATTTCACAGTGTCACAGTGTCTTACTGGGTTTGATTTGTTTTTATTTTCCTGTCTCACGACTTGCCACGTGGCCTCAGTGGGTAGGATGCGGGGACAATGTGCCCGTTAACCATCCAGCGCCTCACAAGTAGCTTGGGTTGGATATTCCCCAGGGAGCTGAGATGAAAAGGCCAGTGCAGACGGTTGTTGTGTTGGGAGACTCCGTGTTGCCCTGAAAATTCTTGGCAGGTTCGACTAGACAGCGCTTCCTGGGAGAAGTCCCATTCGCTGTCTGGGCTACATATGTAGATGAGGTAATTGTACCTTCGCAGATAATGAACCTCACCAGCCTGGTTGTGCCGGGATCACCAGCCACCCTCTGCTGCACTTAATCGTAATCTTGAAAACGTAATATGAACGATTATAGGTAGAAGAGCCTCACCCCCCCAAAAAAAACCCCCAAAACAACAACAAAAACCCAACCCAACCCAACCTAACCCCACCCCAACTCCCCAATAAAAAAAGAAAGAAAAAGGAATACATAAAAAAAAACCAAAAATACAAACAAAACAACAAAACAAACACAAACAAAAAAACCAAAACAACAACAACAAAAACCAAAACAAAACATTAACCCAACCCCCGCGCCCCACATTGATGATCGAGGTGTTGGGAGCGGGGTTGTGGGGTACATTGCCTGGCATTGCTGATTGTATCGACGAGAGGAATTGGCGTCTGTTCATGCTGTCAACCACCGGTTTCCTACACCCGGATTCGATTACCAACAGACCGCTATTACACAGCTTGCATACTGCTAAATGCTGTGTACTAATCATCGGAATGAGTGAGTGATTGAGTTTAGTTTTACGCCGCTTTTAGCAATATTTTAGCAATGTCAAGGCGGGGGACACAGAAATGGGCTTCGCACATTTGATCCAAATAATAGTAGGAAGTCGAACTCGGGCCTTCGGCATGACGAGCGAACGCTCTAACCACTACGCTGCTCCACCGCACCCGTGTTCAAATGAACAACCAACAAAACCTGTGACGGTAATACAGGAAGGGATATAGTTTGTCGTACAGACCCTGAAGCAAATATATCCAAGAAATCCCACGCAAGTCTAGAAAATGTGGCAAGTCTAGATTTCCTCAGCTTCTTCTGAAAATGAAGAAAGTATCAGGGCTCCTTTTTTATTATATTATATATTTTTTTACTATGAACTTTTTTCAGTAAAATATGTTCATTTCAGAGACTAGTTGTTAGTCTAGAAGGGATAGGGCACCCTAACCTACCAGCAGTGTTAGCAGCTATCGACTTTACATGGCCAGTGATCAGTCAGACTATTGACTGTTTGTGAAATCCGATCCTTACCCGCGATATAAACACTGAAATAAACAATACCAACATGTGATCAACATTGACAACACCAGCCCACGCATTGTTTTGATGATTGAATCAATTTTGACAACCAACGAACACATTATCATTACCAGGTTAAGTTGTCTCGCAATAGACGCTAACACGTGACATCACAAATCATGAAATTAACACGGTAGAATATTTATTACTCCGCCAATCACCCTGTCAGCAATTTCTTCCGTTCCCTGCAGCAAAAAACAATCCCAGTGTTGGCATATACACAGTGGTAGTCAAAGCAGACAAGTGTTTATAGAAACAAAGGCAGTCATTCATAATATTACGCTTGGCGTCGCCGACGGAAAGCCATTCAAATCAGAATTGCCGCCAATCGATCACTTCGATATTGCAGTTCAATATGGCTTTGGAGCTTCGGTCGACGATAATTGATTCAAGGTCATTAATGAGTCAGCTGTTTCGGGTGTACGCGCTTCAGTTGACCACGGTAAGTCAGAGAAGAAGATAAAACAATATTGAATGTGTTACACTTTGCCTTTACAATGTACACAATCATGGGGTGAGTGAGTGAGTATAGTTTTACTCCGCTTTTAGCAATATTCCAGCAATATCACGATGTACCGCTGATACTTTTGTTGTTTTGTACAGAGTTGTATACTTATGTACAACATGTCTAATTTGATATGAACAATACATATGTATTTCCTGTGATTGACGCGTCAAGTCATGAACATCTGGCGTCTGTATAAACCCACAAATCATTTACAATCAAGCATTTCAACACCAGCACGCCTAACTGCACGTGAAACGTTACAAATGCAATGCACGATCGCGTGTAAACCACCCACACTCCTCCCCCACCCACGAATCAACCGAGGCCCTATCAAATATTCCTTTCGCGCGTTCCTTATATGAATCAAAGTACACACGTCAGATGTCGTCATATGAATCCCCCGTTTCAAAAAGTTGCTATATTAATTCATGAAATATACATATGTCAATTTCAAACAAAGGATGTCAATAGCTGTCACTACTAATAATGAAACTCAATGTGGTGTACGTGCAGCATCCTTGTGTGCTTGTCATTTACAGTTGTGGGTACTGATTTACATACATATTCATACTGAATACTGTTTTACGCCTCAGCAAGTGACACTCCAGTTGTGACAAGGTTTGTCTGTCACAGTCCCCGAACCACATTATTGTCCCCACGTCCTGCCGTTCTGCAATGCTAAAGCCCAAAATGAACTGACTGACTGAGTATGGTTTTACGTCGTTTTTCGCAATATCCCAGCAATATCACGGCGGGGGACACCAGAAATGGGCTTCACAAATTGTACCCATGTGGGGAATCGAACTCGGGCCTTCGGCGTGACGAGCGAACGCTTTAAGCACTAAAAACACACACACACACACACACACACACACACACACACACACACACACACACACACACACACACACACACACACACACACACACACACACACACACACACACACACACACACACACACACACACACACACACACACACACACACCAATGAAGCATGTCCAGACTTCCTCAGCTTCAAATCTGAATCTCCAAACTTACTGGGGCTCCTATTCACTTCAAAAGGAATTTTTTTCCTACCAGAATTATATAAATACACAATGCCATTTAGAAAGTGGTCAGATGTAACATATGTTATATTTGGGATTACACTTTCTTAGTACTAGTACTTTTGTTCGATTCCGTGGCTGAGCGGGTTAGGTGACTGACTTTGTGTGCTGGCGATTAGGTGCCTGACTCTGAGGATGTCGGTTCAACCCAACAAAAGTACAAGAATCTGTACTTTATTAAGAAAGTGTAATCACATATGTTACAGAATCATACATATTCAGAGTCAATGCGTTACGCTATTATATAGCGGGCTGTAAATAGTCGATTCTTTGTCAGGCAAACAACCCACAAACAGCATAAATAATACTCACGCCGTAGACAGGCAGTGAATTATGGTGTCACGTGGGAACACTGAAGTGCATCTGTTCAACTTGATTCTCCCAAACTATTACACAAAACAAGTACTGACAGCAGTACACGTTCATGACCTTGTCACTGAGCTTTCCGCCAACATTCAAACCTAATACTGATGTGTCGTTTAACTATCATTTGAAGTTATAATAAATCATAAAGCATTCACTTTTATATACGAATTACAACCAGAAACTCATGCCCCCTAATTTGTGCATTCATAAATAAATCATTCCTGACAAGATGACCGTCACCGTGTTGACCCAACACACATATTAGGGCAGTGGGTAGCCGCGTCTGCTCGTCACGTGGAAGACCCGGGTTCGATTCTTCACATGGGTACAATGTGTGAAGCCCATTTCTTGGTGTTTCCCGCCAGATATTGCTGGAATATTGCTAAAAGCGGGCGGCGTAAAACCACACTCACTCACTCACTATTATCATCACTACCAACAAAGTGATCGTCATCAATAGCACGAACACCATGAATTACAACGACACTAACCTAGACCTGTTTCAGCTTCAGTTACAACGATCGTCAACGATGTGTGTTCTCGCCGTGATATTGCTGGAATACTGCTAAAAGCGGCATAAAGCAATATTCACCCTCTCACAAACATATTACTAAAACAAAGGATGAAACTCACTAACGAGGGACTATGTTCCACAACCTGCTGGCCTTGATCAGTACTGGTCTGGACTTTGTAATTTGCATTGGTTTGAAAACTGAGACGTGTTAAGAGTATCATTTACTGTTACGTGATAAACCCCACCGCGCAAAAGTAAGTAGACACGTGAAAATTGGATTTGACAAAAAAGTTGCAAACGTTATCCGAACCTAACTAGGCTGCAATCTGTCGCCAAAACCCCGCCAACGTACAATCCAAAACATCAACTCGCCGTCGGTTCCCAGTAGCCAGTTCTTGTTTGTTTTTATTTAGCCACCATTAAACTGGGTGTATGTATTTTCTCCATCCCCACCAAAGTCAATTTACATTAAATTAAATCTGTAGAGAAGTGATATAGTGTTTGAACGGTTGGACCTAAGTTACCAGTTTTCTCCAGCCCTTTTCCCTTTAAGCATACAGCTTTATTAGTAGGGGCAATCTGTCTTTTACGGTAAACATTGGCTAACGTGTGGTCCCCGATACAGAAATTCTGTAGAATTCGGTACTTACGTGACAAGTTCTAGGGTTTAGAGTCAGTAAGAGTGAGTGAGTTAATATTTATCGTCACATCGGCAATATTTCAGCCATATCGTGACGAGAACAATCAATAATTATATTATAGATCAATAAAATTAGAAAATAGAAGACTGTTGACGAAGAACAGTAAAACTACTAGTGTATCACAGATATCCCTTTAAAACTAGTAATTAAATCTAAAACATTTTATCTAGAAATGACAACACAATGTAAAAACAGGCTATAGATTGCCAACACTGAAGGTATATCACCATACTAAGGACCATGGGGAAGAGTCAGTAAGAGAGAATACTACAACACAATACTAGAGATACTGTAAACGTTCTTATAAATGCATTGTTGTGATGTAGAAATTTTGTGCAGAAAGCATGAATAAAATAGCACTCAGATACCTTCCTTGTCTCACCCCTTTCGTCGCAGCCATACGAGGGACAGCGGTGTGCATGCATAATTATATCTGTAATGAAAACACTTGATAAGGAAATTGCATAGCCAACTGCAGCTAAACAGAGCGGTGGATTCCCCAATTTTACTTCGCGTGATACGCGATTGGTTGATCTTTTCCTCAAGGAAAGAGTTCCGTGCGGAAGGAAAGATACTGTCATCATACGCCGTACGCTGGATCAAAAGGGACGATGATACGTGTCATCGATGTGTGTGGGCGGTGCTATTGATCAATCACTGGTCCAGATTAGAGATGGTGTTGAGTGTGTGTGTGTGTGTGTGTGTGTGAGATACTTTGGATGGAGAGATCACCAGTTCAATAATATACGTAGTCTGCCTCACAGTACCTGAACCGCATCGTTTTCCCTTACCACCAATCCCTTCTGCAATGCTAAATCCCTAAACAAAGAAGACTATATTTTCTCAACTTCTGAATCTCCCGACTCACTTTGCCTCTTTTTTCAAATTGAAAGTAATTATTTGTTTCTATCAAAATTATATATATTCAGACACCAAGCGTTAGTCTATAATATCTCAGAGACCATATACCGTGGATGATATAGATGAAGGTAAAAACTCCGATGTGAGCCTTCAAATCTTGCAGATCTCGCAAAGCCTCGCGGTAATTATCGCGACAGTGATCATTTCCTTATGAACTCTGAGGCCCGTCCCTCGGTATATGGTGTCTGAAGCAGGCCCTATGGACGTTTCCGGGAGAGAAGTTGTTAAATTCACATGAAGGCGAGGCACTTCAAGCAGCGTGACAATCTGTTCTGCATGCTCTTTGAATCTGATGTTGCAGGAGATGTGACGGTCCAATAAGCAACACGTAAAGATGTGTGACAGCGTATGTTAAGTACGGTACCTGCCTTATCAGCAAAAACATAAATAATCATCAATCCAGTCAAAGACATGTTTCTGTCTCACGAGAATAGGGGTTACTTTATCAGGGGTGTCAAATTACAGGGCCACCGTCTCAGTTCACTTAACAGATGACCCGAAAAAATGTCACACGCATTACCGGTGAACCATCAAAAATGTCCCGTCCTTCTGAAGTATCCGGTGGATATTGTGCTCGTACCTGAGCAACAAATTAATGACCTCTTTGGTCAGAGGTCATCTGGGATAGTAGCGGAAGTTATGGAAGATGGGAAGAGAGTGGTTTGGACGTTAAGCTTTCACCTTGTCGCGTTGTCGTGTCGGATTTTATCCTCGGCTGACCATAACCCGACACCAAAGGAGCATTTAGTGAAGAGTTGGCGTGTTCATATGTAAATGTGTCAGAATACCCCTTAATCACGGAACGCCATCAAAGCATGTGAAAGCGACAGACTGAAGAGCAAGGGGAAAATAGTTATTGTTGAAGGTACTTCTTCCTTTGACAGGATAACTTGTATAACTCATTATCGTTGTCATTCTCTCTGATGTGGCTGCAATATTGCTAAAAGCGGCGTAAAACACAATTCACTCACAGGTAATATAATTTAGAGTAAGTGAGTGAGTTTAGTTTTACGCCGCACTCAGCAATATTCCAGCTATATGGCGGCGGTCTGTAAATAATCGAGTCTGGACCAGCGATCAACAGCATGAGCATCGATCTGGGCAATTGGGAACTGATGACATGTGTCAACCAAGTCAGCGAGCCTGACCACCCGATCCCGTTAGTCGCCTCTTACGACAAGCATAGTCGCCTTTTGTGGCAAGCATGGGTTGCTGAAGACCTATTCTACCCCGGATCTTCACGGGTTATAATTTAGAGTACCCCAAGAAACAGCTCGTGTTGCAGCTACGTGTACATGTAAGAGTAGACGCAATGTCACCCTATTGTAGGAGACAAAGATGTATTTGAAATGCATGTCACACAGCATAATCACTTCCTCCATAATATCAAATTCTCTTTGTCTGGTTTCCACCGTACAGCGTTTTCCCTATTCCCTTGGTGTAAGCCCGTTATCACGGGGTCAGGCGGGTTCGGGTGTCTTAAGGATCTTTCCTCAGCAAAATATTTCCGGGTGGAGTTTTCAGGTGGAAAACTTTGTGCAGAATGATATACGTGTTTACCATACGGGACGGAAGGGATACGGTCTGTTAAGTGTCAATTTATAATAATTTAGTCGAACTGTCTAAAACACACAAGGAAAATCTTTTGAAAATTGGAATAAAAGTAATCACCCAATAACCACCCCAAATAAAAGGTTTGATAAAATAGATTTAACGTGTTGACCAAGTCATGTTAAACCTATTTTATCAAACTTTTATCCAAAGTGTTATCACATTTTGTATACAAGCATGGTACGGTAATCTTCCCTTGAAACTAAGAAACAAAATCAACTCAATTGTGAAACTTTCTAGTAAAGTTTGCGGCATTCCCCTCCATAACTTGACTGCCCTATATGAGTCCCCGGTTGAAAAGAAAGAATCTGCAATTCTGGCTGATACGTCCCACTGTTTACATAATCATTTTGAACTACTTCCTTCCGGCCGCCGCTTCAAAATTCCTCTTTACAAAAGTAATACAACCTCCAAATAACTGGTACCATGCAGCATCAAACTTCTCAATAAGTCTTAACATTTTACTCCTCGCATGTTTTCTCTTTTTGTATTGCGTACATTGCTCTTGTGTGCATGAGGCTAACTTTTACATGTTTAGTATTTATCTTAATAATGTACACTGCTGTTGTCAATCTTAATATTACTATTGTGTTTTAATACTGTCAGTGCAATATTTTATGACCGTTAAATGCTCAAGATAATAGTCTCATCTTATCTTAAATCCCAAAGTCCTCTTCAATCCCATAATATAACAACATGTAAAAATCCGGGTTAGAATTGATCTTCAGCAAACCATGCTTGTCGTAAGAGGCGACTAACGGGATTGGGTGGTCAGGCTCGCTGACTTGGTTGACACATGTCATCGTATCCAAGTTGCGTAGATCGATGCTCATGCTGTTGATCACTGGATTATCTTGTCCAGACTCGATTATTTACAAACCTCCGCCATATAGCTGGAAGTTTGCTGAGTTCGGCGTTAAACAACAAACAAGCAAAACAAAACAATAATCACTTTACCCGAAATACAAACTTAAAAACGAATCTCGATAACTTTATCTGAAGCACAATACCCACACTTGACACTGAAATTCTAAAAATAGGAGATCACCGAACTTGAAACCTTTGGAAGGAAATCCGAGCGGTGTGATATTGATATGAAATGTACACCTGACCTTGTATGTGTAACACCAGCGACTGATGCAATGCATTGCTATAGCTCCCATGTTCGCTGCGGGTATGTAGGGGATCTGAATGGACTCGTTGTCGGGATTTCCTGAGATACAGTGTTAACCCTGACACTATGTTAGCCCAGTGAAAACACGTGTCACGACAATCGGTATATATTGTTGATTTACGATGACATTGACAACATGGTGGAGGGAATGACTTGTCAATTTCAGAACAAGCTATCACTACACGATTACATACCCCACGTCGACCCCAACAAGCGTGCCCAATTTTTGACCTGTTACAGGTCACATTGGGAAGTGAGCCCTAGGATGTATATGAACTAGCGTTGGATGTTAGCGGTGTACATTTTAAAGGTAGGCTAATAAAGATTCTTTCTCGAATGGATTTGATGTAGATTTGTGCATTAAAACCACACGGCCATGCATAAAGTACACAGACCAAATCCATTTTGATGTATTTATTCCACGTTTTACGTCATCATTACTTCAGGTGTTCCATGACTTAATGACTAGACACGTAATTAACGCCATGACGTTGTCGGAGCATTGACAATCTCATTATAATCTGATCTCTTATTCCAGTATGATACATCTACGTGAAGATCGGACTTCATCCCGGATGAGAGGACGCTGGGCGAAGCTGGAAATGCATAAAGGATGGATTTGTGGCCGACTGACATTTAGTTCCAGGAATAAAGTTGCATTTTTGTAAATATTTCTACCAAATTTACATAACAAACCCAATATCCAAACGGAGCCTGGAACAAAAGTTCATCATGTAATACATAATAAATAGTTAAAAATCCAAAACAAACCCTTGTGAAAATATCTAGAGCTGTTGCAAGCTGGATTTTCATTATGGACTCTACACTTTACAATAGAAGCGACAAAACCCTTTCCACATCCATAAGAAATCTCTGCTAAAAGCAGAGTCGATTGTACAATATGTATTTGATTCAAAGTATTCTAGACTTGAGTTTGACTAAAATCATAAATTTATTCTCTCGAGTTTGATCGGTTTTGAAAGCAGATGGATCTGAAAAGCTGAGTTGAGTTTTTTATATCTCTCAGCTGCGCGTTAAGTATCGCGTCTGGACAAGCAGCCTAGTGGTGGATAGTATGAGAGCCACATGTGCATGTCGTCGGTGTAGGCGCAATCAAGTTGCACACAAAGCTCTATCACTAGATTTTCGTCAAACAGCTCTTTCGACAGTGATAATTAGAGGCAACTTCATTTGATCGGTTGGTGTTTAACGCCGCACTCGGCAATAATCCATCTATATGGCGGCGGTCTGTAAATAACCGAGTCTGGACGAGGCAACCTAGTGATCAACAGCATGAGCATCGAAATACGCAACTGGGATGCAATGGCATATGTCAACCAAGTCAGCGAGCCTGACCACCCGACCACGTTAGTCGCCTCTTACGACAAGCATGGGTTACTGAAGACCAATTGTAACCCGGACCTTCACGGGTGGTAACTTTAGTGGAATGCGGATCAGACTGTATTTGCTGCGACTGGGTGCCTGTCTACAGAATCTGTACTGATACTATAAAGAACAATATAAATTATAAACATGTACTGATTTATCAAAATACGGGTTTTATTTCTGATTATGAGTTTTATGTCCGATAGACATTTTACAGAATTTGAAAATACATATCACGTCTTTAGTGGGAACAGAGTGGGCGGGGGTAGCCTAGTTGTTAACGTGTTCGCACGTCACGCCGCAGGTCGTGGTTCGATTCTTCACATGGGATTCCTCACATGGGTCCACATGTCTCCCACCGTGATATTGCTAGAATATTGCTAAACGCAGCGTAAAACCTGACTCACCCACTCGCTCACTCACTTCCGTGGGATAAAGATTTATGATACCCTGTGACAGGTATCACAGGAAGACTCTACTTATAAAACACACTAGTGACATTCGTCAGCCAGTCTGTCTTCACCCGTGTTTTTGTCGAACCATCTAACTGTGCAAAGCTGCTTCGCAATAAGGATTATGACAGCTGTAAATCATATAGTAAGTTCATATGGTGTGCCAGGGGCGATTTCACAGATTGTACCTTGACCTCACAAGTGTTTGAAGGTTTGGGGTGAGACGTGGGAATGAAGGAGTATGGTTTTACTCCGCTTTTTAGCAATATTCCAGCAATATAACGGCTGGTGACACCAGAAATGGGCTTAACACATTGTACCCATGTGGGAAATCGAACCCGGGCTTTCGGCGTGACGGGCGAACGCCTTAACCACTAGGCTACCATACCCCCCTTATAAGGAGCAGGTGTGTGTAAAAAGACTGTGTATGTTGACAATAACAGCAGGTGTTGTTTATGGTTTTACGCCGCTTTTAGAAATATCACATCGGGGGACACCAGAATTACGGTTCACACATCGTACCCCCGTGGGGAATCGAACCCGGGCTTTCGGTGTGACGGGCGAACGCTTTAACCACAAGACTACCACACCGCCCCGAATGTGATGTGAAATGAGGTGGAACGTCAGGTTTTGTGTGCATTATATCGCATTGTGATCTTCTCTGTGAAGACTACTCTTTGAAAGCTGAGATGAAATGGGGTTTACAACGCGTGAAGGTTATTTATTGCATTTATAAAGCGATGTGCGTGCATGCGTGTGTGCGTGCTTACGTGCATGTGAGCTACCCTACTCAGACACACTACAGTGACTCCGAGCAACCTGCGGGAATGTGTTAGTAAGTAAGTAAGAACACTGACTTCGAGGACTGGGTGAGTTTGGTTGAACTCCCCTTAGAACAGTCGTCCAGTTCTATCATGGCGTGGGGAGCGATGGGGGTAGCCTTGCTACAAGCAATATTCTATCAACAACAACAACAACAACAACAACAACAACAACAACAGCAACAACAACAGCAGCAGCAACCCCTGATCTGGTGCAATTCGGAAAAGGAACTTGACTACTTACACCCCAGTTTTGGCTTATACCGTAGTTCCTTGATAGTTTCGGGGCACGTTTAGCAGCATGATACAGCTAAAAGACACCATACCAAATTTTTTCACAGGCCAAACCCCCCCCCGGTTGTTTATGAAACTGTTAGGGCTACAGGATAGTAATTTGATTACAGTTTCTCTGTCATGAGTGTAGTGATAAAAAACTAAAAAAACCTCACACACTTATACAGTCTAAAAAAGTCATATTTGGCGGTGGCGCAATTTGGAACCAGAACTGGTTCTTGTATATATGCTTGTCACCGGAAGTCTGGTACCGCAAATGAGCTGGGCCCAGTCTCGCATATAGCAAGTTGGCGCGCGCAAAGGGAGCCGGGAACCAGCAGTATCGGAAGTAGTACCTCACGGTGCTTACAGGCCCTATTGTTTTAACAAATTAGGACAATGGATATTCAAGAAAACAATTGTCTCGACAGATAATAATCCATATGTCTTTGACCTTTATGTAAACGTAGCTTTCAATGCTACTTGAAACCGAATTTGTAATGTAATACTGTAAATGTCACTCTTCTCTGTGCCAAGTGTCAAGGGAATGATACACGTTATAGTGATTTTATACATAAGCTGGCAGACTTTGAAATTAGGTCTCATTCATTGACCGTGTTTCGTCTTCTATATACTTCAGAGGAAAATTTAATGTAATGTTCAAAATGTGTTTTAACAAGCATCACATGACATGTATATCAAAATAAATTTTGCGGGTTTGAGACAAGACCACATTTTGTTTGAAATAATATAGATTTCCGTTGATATATTGGGTTTAGATAAAGTAGAACGGAGTATTAGGAGTGACATTGACAGAGCCGAGGATAGTTAGATGTTTCACACACACGCAAATTCACTCCCAGTATTGTGTAGTTCCTCAGGTTAAAAACTGGGCAATTGATTTGGTTGACTGTGCCCGTAACCGTACGGAGTGGGTCGGTGTTCACAATATCAACCACTATTTTGTCTGGCCTCATTATTTACAGGCTGCGGTGGTATGGTCACAGCTGCCTTTGGTTGAGACAACAAAACAAAACGGTTCTATCTCATGACTTCGTTACTAACTGCAAGAACATATATGTTGCAGATACACAACACTGAACTGTGGGAGAGTGCATTGGTGGATGGACAATATGGGGTAGGTAGGTCACGGCACATCGCAAGACCTCAGTACTTCCGGTGACAAACAACGTTTCATACCTTTTCGAATGGTCTCATGGTTGTCAGTTGACAGTAAGCAACCTATAATCCTTGCAGGAATAACAAATTTCCGATCTAACCTTCCCCAACTATTACGACTGTCAACATCTGTGACAGACAAGCATGGTTGTACACTTGGTCGGTCTAATTAAGTCATATTTGGCGGTTGCGCAATTTGGAACCAGAACTGGTTCTTGAACATACGCTTCTCATCGGGAATCTGGTGCCTGAAGTAAGCATATTGCAAATTGGTGCGCGCGAAAGGAGGCGGGAACCAGCTTCGTACCGGAAGTAGACTCGAGGCGAGACTTACAGGCCCTATTCGGTTCATGTGATAAACATGGAGTGAGTGAGTGAGTGAGTGAGTTAATGGGTGAGTGAGTGAGTGAGTGAGTGAGTGAGCGAGCGAGCGAGTATGGTCATGTTGCTAACAGACCAAGAGTGATCATCAGGTAGAAGGTGGAATCGAATCCACGATAAATGGTTTCGATGGTGCAACGAATTCCAGTGCCTTAGACGACTGGTCTGAAAGTGCCCACTTAACAAAGCACACAGTTGTCATTAATGTGACATGGTCGTGTTGGTGTTTTCATACCCGGAAGACCGTGGGTGAACCTCATTGTGACAAGCACCGGTTTCCCTGCCCTGCATGAGGCTGTGATATGGCCAGTCTATCACTGAGCGTGTTTTCAGAACACATTTTGTCAGCATTCAACATATTCCGCACACGAAGGGTTAGTCCCACGGCCGTTAGGAATTGACAGCAGAGGGAAAAAACTCTGTATTACATCGACCATCATCACCAGGAGTTCAACAGAGTAATTATAGGCCTGAATATTTGCACTAAAGGTATCATCCAGTGTTCAAAAGATGATGTACTTTTGCCTCTTCCAAATACCTTGCAAATAGAACACTCTCCTGGTATTTTTTGGAGATTCTGAACTATTGCATTTACCGTTATGAAAGGTCGACGGCTGATGTTATTGTGTTCAGTTATTATAAAAACCAGACGATAAATAATGTGGTAGACTAAGGCTTAGTCTCTGAATATATATAATTTTGATAGTAACAAACAAGCCCATTTATATTGAAAAGGAGCCCTAGGGAGACCAGAGATTCAGAACCTGAACCTGAGGAAATCTAGACTTGCTTTATTTAGGGCTTTAGCACTGCAGAGAGGGCTTGGCAGTAGGGAAATTAATGTGGTTCAGGGACTGTGAGACAGACTAATAATGCGGAAACTGCGTCAGTTCCTCGGAAATATTGGATACTATTCGTATAACGTTTCCAAGCAATACCATCACCTATTTCCGTTTCACAGTGTCCTTAGCAATGGTTGAGTAGTACATAGCATTGCAGCATGAACACTTGCAATATACCCCACATCACCATGGAGCGTGTTTACCTGAGGACACCTGTTGACGTTCAACAGACCCCGTGACCTCCACAGACTGTCTGTTGTGTTGTGACGAGCACGTTTGTCAAATGTCACCCGAGGCATGTGGGCGGGTTGTCGGGACAGTCGCCATGTTTTATGCCGTGCCCATTAGGCAGTTATTCCAAGCATTAGCCGTGTTTTGAACTTGTACCACTTACCAGGTGAACCCAGGTGATTGAGACGAGTCAGTGGTCCTTGTTGGTATGGGATAATTTTACAAACAGAAACGAGATTAGGTGAAATGCGGCATCACGTCGCGCTTACGTAGCTGCGTAAGCGCATGTGTGCGCATGGGCGTGCGCGTGCGTAATATTCCTTAATATTCGTTTTTATAATATTTTTTCACTAACAGAAACAAGATG